CCAAAACGAGCAGCGTAGGGGATTTTACTTTGCGGTGTGATCCCAGTAATATTCTGTTCGGCCTTCATCTGAAGGAGGAGAGTTTGATTGGTTTATACTGTAACTACCATACATTTCAGACAACTTTCTCTCCACTGCTCTTTCTGTCACGGCCAGCACTCGCTTTTCTACTTTCGCCAATGATATGTTCGCAGAACGTCATGGTTTTTGTGATCTTATACTCTGAGAAAATAGACAGTACGTGATCATCCTACAGATTGCACTGCTGAACTGCAAAACCGACATGCACATATAATTAGTTTCTGTACAGTTGAATTAGTTCCTGTACTAGTGGTCACTGATACTGCGAAGAAAAATTCGTCTAAAAATCTGAGTTATTACGTAAATCCCTTTTCAGAAGAGTAGTTTTCTTTTATTAACTAAAGTCAATTGTAACATGCACTAACCAGGCTTGCCGGTGCGACCATGCAGTTTTGCACGATTCTGTGCTGTAATGAGATCGCTTAGGCTTGCACACATCGTAATATCCTCAAAAAAGCTTTCTAGCTCAATTAGCTCCCAAAGTCCCTTTGCTGCCAAAAATAATTTGCCATGTCCATACGCATGATACAGGCGTACGCAAATTCTCATTTTCACGTTTACGGCTCGCACATAGACAGCTATTCTCGATAAAATCAAAAGGATCTCCCCAGTCTAGTCCCCGAATTGGCGCATTGCCAGTTGCTGCGAAGCTACAACTTTGACGTGTCCGTACACATGATGTACGCATGCGTTCAAGCTGATTTAAAACCTTTAGCTCAAATAAGAGCACGGAATGCCTCTGTGAAGTTCAGCTTTCTACCCTGTCTGGTTATCGTTAGAAAGTAAACAAATTTTTCTAGAAGACCTAAACATACGTGAACGACAACTTTAAAAATGCAGTATTGCACATGGGATCGGGATATACTTCGGAAATTTCAGCTTCCCAATTTTACCGCTTATCGAGATGAAAATGGGTGAAAGAAATATGAACATACATACACGCGCGCACGCACATGCGTACGCAGACAGAGTGCACCGACAACTTCTTGTCAATATGCGTTTCTGCATTTGCAAAAATGTGCAAAAAATGCATAACGATTGCTAATTCTAATAGTAAAGTGCCCGCTGGCCATCGTGAGCCATTTCCGCCCAAAAACAAGTGCTCAGTGATAGTATTCGTATTAAAATCTCGGCTTAAGGCTGAAATCCCCACTTCAGGCTCAGTATTAGATTAAGCAACGTACCTGAGCAGCAAAGCCCGAAGAGCAAAAGCAAAAGCAATGTCGCTAAAGAAAGGTGAGGAACGAAAGTGTGTACTTCATCTCCAGACGTCTGGATCACTAGCCAGAAGCAGCGATGGCACAGTCTTCGACGTCGGGTTGCTTGGATGTTCGATGCTTCTGCTGAGTGTTCCGGTGCGATCAGCCCTGGCTTCAGAGTTGCAGAAAGCCACGGTAGACGGAAATTCACTCTCGAAGGACGCCGGGAACCAGGGATGGAATGCGCCAACCCCGGTCATTCGCTGGGGTTCCTGCTGCTCATCAAGCAACGAGTGCGGTGGCGTGCAACGGCCCGAACATAAGACATCCATTTGCGGAGGTCCCGAGGAAGTGATGATGTCTGGACGCGCGGGCCCTGTGCTGGGGCGGGCTGTGTGTTTCTGTCTACGACCCGAACCAGGGCCCGTCCGGGTACAGTATGTCATGTGTCTGAGCAAAACAAGGCAAGCGATGGGTGGGAAGGGGGGCTATTATTCATCCATTAGTTCAGAAGCTTTCACTTTCCACTGTATGAAGAGGCCGAGAGGAGGAGGAGGAGGAGAGGGGCTCGGGCTGCTGCAGCTGTTCCGGATGGATGCCTTCACGGACCGATGGATGGATGGTTGGGGATGGATGGACGGACGGGCGAATGGATCAGCGTGTGCTTTGTCCTGGCCGATGGTGCCGTGGCCCCCGCCCAATCGATTGCACCGGCTGTGCGCTCTCTTGTGTGTGGCGGTGCAGCGTGCCGGAGGAGTTCGGCGACCGAGTCAAATCCAATTCCCTTAAAAAAATGTGTCCCTCTTTTTTCGGCTGCAAGGCCCGGCGAAGGAGGCAACCGAAGCTGCTACTGCTGCTGCTGCTACCGCTATTCGTACATCTCCGGCGCACCCGGAAATTTCGCGGCCGAAAATGGCAGAGCAAAAGAAAGAGAGCCTCTAAGGCCGACGCTATAATTAATATTGCCATTGGTGCTGCTGCTGCTGCTAAATTCGGGCAGTAGAGATGGTGAGGGAGGGGCGGCCGGGGACTCACAAATAGAGGAATGTAAGTGCTGAAATGAGATATGGCAACGAGAGCGAGCGAGGCTGGATGTAATATGAGGAGGGGAGTATACACACACACGCACACATAAATCAGTTCAAATGGTAGGAAATGTATGTATGTGGAGCGGGGTGCGGGGATACGGTTGCACTGGTGCAGCCGCTCTGCTGCTCTGCAGGCATTTCGGAG